TCTTCCGGCCAGTTTCCTGGACCACTACTGCATCTTCTGCATGTTCTTTTGCTTCTGTCGTCGCATGATATCCTAAAGATTCAGCAACGTAACACTCAATAAGAAAACACAATAATAAAAAAGACAATATATAATCGCAATTGATATAGATGCATCATATCATTTGAGGTGGCGTGTCTAATTTAATAACCGCTAGTAGACATATTTGTGATCAGCTAAGGTGGCCAGTGATATACATATATATAGGTTAAAGTTTCAGTGCGGGTGGATGCTTCCTGTGCAGTTGTGCGGGTGATTAATGTGCGTCAGTTTTGTGCTTAATATGCATGAGTTTTGTATTTAATGTGCTTGAGTCTTGTGCGTAATGTACGTGAGTTTTGTGCGTAATGTGCGTGAGTGTGTACTTAATGTGAGTTGTTGTTGAAACTTTAAAGTGCATGAGTTTTATGCTTAATGTGCGTGAGTTTTGTGCTTAATGTGCGTAAGTCGTGTGCTTAAGATGCGTGAGTTTTGTACTTAATGTGCGTGAGTGTGTACTTAATGTGAGTTATTTTTAAAACTTAAGGTGCGTGTGTTTTTGTGATTAACATGCGTGAGGTTTGTGCTTAATATGCGTGAGACTTATACTTAACATGTGTGAGGCTTGTGCTTAACATGTGTAAGGTTTGTGTGCTTAATGTGCGTGTGTTGTATACTTTAAGTGCGTCAGATTAATGCTTAACGTGCGTCCACTCGCACAACCGCACGGGAAGCCTCAAATGCACTTGATCCCATATATATATATATGGTCCCAATGAGAACACTTGCTTAGGTGAGAACGTGAGAACAAATCGTGTGCATACATCTAATTGTCTAGATTAGATTAAGTGTGTGTGAACGCGAATTAAATGTGTGCAAACGCATTTAATCACGTTTGCACACATTTAATTCGCGTTCGAACACACTTAATCTAATATAGACCATTAAAAAATATTAGATGGATGCACACAATTTGTTCTCACATTCTCACTTAAGCAAGTGTTCTCGTATGAATGATGTGTGGTTGTTTTGCTACTGTTGTTTTCTTGTTTTGTTTGTTCCCTTTTAAATTTTGTCAAATTTCACGTAGTTGTTGATTGTTTGACGAGTGGATAGTGAAGGAGGTATGTAGTATAAATAATACAATGCAAGAAAACGGTACATATATACCCGCAATCTTGATTAAGAATTTCTTGAAAAACGAAATAATTTAATCTTGTTATATAACGTGTATGTGTAAAAACTTTATTGCGCAACATGTGAACGTACTCTTAGCATATTTTGCTAAACAATTGTGCAGGTATGGTTGTAGCATAAATTGACGTGTAGTGGTTTTTGAAACAAGAATGTGCGAATTATTGCTGTCAATTCATAAAGCTTATTAGGTCATAGTGGCACGTACTATATATGCCTGCATGCTGATATTTGATTCGTGAATTGTCAGCTTTTGCTCTCGATCAAGTATTTGTACAATAATATTTACAATAAACTTAAATTCATTACTTTTTCACTTATGAACGTATTTTTTTTTTTTTTTTGAGTTTTTTAACCAATAATTAAAATATATTCGAAGCACACTATTTGTTTAATGCTATTACATTAAATAATTGCACTTGTTGGAGATATATAGGCCAATAAGAATTGGGTTCTACCTGAATTAATGAGCTCTAGATTAATTGATTCAATCGTTATATCCTACACCACGGCGCACATAGCACTGTGCGCCGCGCACCTCCCAAAACGACGTCGTTTTGGGGTAGTGTTGGGAGGCGCGGTAGGAAGTTGCTGAGATTATGTGTATTTGTTCACAACGTTATGTGTATTTGTTCACAACGTTATGTGTATTGGTTCATACAGTTATGTGTATTTTTTATACAATTATGTACATTCTTTTTATACAATTATGTACATCCGAATCAGAAAATTTGTGTGTATTATGTTAAGAGTTGATGTGTATTATGTTAAAAGTTTATGTTTATTATGTATTATGTTAGATTATGTGTATTATCTTTTAAAAAGAGTATGCATATTTTGTTATATAATTATGTACATTCATGTATAACATTATGTGTATTCTAGTATAACATTATGTACATTCTTGAACAGCGAGTTTTTTTTTAAAGAAAAAACTACTGCCATTCACTGGGGCGGAAAATTTCAAAAAAAAAAAATAATTAAAACGACGTCGTTTTGCATCTAGGCGCATAGTGCAACGCGCGCCGTGGTGTAGGATATAAATTGCCTAATTGATTCATTAGGTTATTGGTTGATTGATTGATTGATTGATTGATTGATTTATTATTATTATTATTATTATTATTATTATTATTATTATTTAGTTAAAAATGGTGGGACTTTAATATATAGATTTAATGTTGGTAAAGAAAAGTGCGAAAAAAACAGGGATTTAAATTTTAAGAAATAATTTGTTAGCAACAATGATGCAGAGAGACATGGCCTTTATGCTGTATAATATAATTCAAACTTCTCAAAAATATGAATGGTATATATACTAGTGTAAATTCACATTTCTTTTCTAATGTGAGACAAACTTCTTACAAGCTTTCCAAACGCTATTTTTTAAATTTATGGGTACACTTTGAGAATCAATTTTTCATTTACCCATTATTTATTTTGATAGTACAATATATCGATTTATTTGTTTGACTTAGAAGAATTATAATTAACTCTGACCCGATCTAAAATGGAAATGAATCTCACATATATTTGTACCACAAAATGACTACTCAAATGCCAATTTTGCTAATACCAGTAGTTTCCAACAATTAAAAGACTGGGGCGTATGGTGGTTGCGATAGGCATATGTTTGGCTATTTAATATAGAAGTGGGAAGAAGATGGAAGAATGATTTTACGTTGTCAAAACATGCGCACGCAACTAGAAATGGGAGTACGTGATTAATAATGAAGGCTGTATAAATTCAAAATCAAGAGATTGATTAAAGATTTATGCCCTGTTTGGTAATATAATTAGTTTATCAGTAAATTTTAGTTTATATAATCATTATTTGTTGTTTGATTTGATTACACAATCAATATGAGTATTTGATTAATTAACTTTTTGTAACAATTTTTTGCTTCAAAATGTTAAAATTCAAAAAGTTACTCAAAACAACTTTTTCAATAACTTTTATAAGAAAGTAATATTGCATGCAATCAACTATTAACTAACAGCTAATTACCAAATATTTTTTACAATCAGTTAATGTTAAATCAACCAGTCAAACCCACTAACCAAATCAGCTAACAGCAATTTACCAAACACCCCCCTAATATCTTTAATCACTATAATATTTATGTGTAATTGAAAAACAACCATCTTTAATTATATTTTCTTATAAAATTGGTGAATAATAAAGGTCAAAAGGGTTCTACACCCAACTCCTTGATTAAACTAACTCATCCTATTATATATTACTCCATCTGTCTCATTTTATTTGTCCTATTTATTACTATTCATTGGTCAAATCAACTTTTTATTCTTTGCTTATTTCTATTAGCATTTTCTTATAATTTTTAAATTTGATTTTTTATTTTTAATAATACTTTTAATATAATTTCTAAATATATTCAATTTTACATACTAATTCTAAACTTAATATTATGAAAGCTTTTGACTAATTTTATTTGAATCAAGTAAGATCAAGTTACCAATGATTTTGTGATCCAATGGTACCATGTTACTCTGTTATGCGAGAGATGATTGGTTTGAACTTCAGTGGGTATCCCCTTCTTATAAATAAAAAAAAAAAGTAAGATCAAGTTTATCCTTATAATTTTCTTCATTTCATTATGACATGATCAATGCCATGTCACTCTTTCTTAAAAGAAAAAAATGAATGTGGAACGAAAGGCTTGCGAGTGTACGTTACAAGCCTTTTATCCAACACTTATGTTACCTTTTGGCAATTAAAATCACACCTACCTTACCAAATAGTAAGGTTGGCTTATTTTATTATTATTATTATTATTATTATTATTATTATTATTATTATTATTATTATTATTGAAAGTCAATTGAATTATAGGGATGTCAAAAAAAAAAGTCAATGTATTATAAATATATTAAATATGAAAATAGAACTTACTTTTAGAAGTAAGGGAGCATTGAAGTGATAAATATAATTTAACTAAGATTTACGATTTTTAAGCATCAGATAAGATACAATGAATAGTAAAAAACTAGTTACAAATAGCGATGGTACATTATTTTCTTAATTTCACCTCTTTAAGGAAAAAATATATTATTAATCTTTGTCATTTTTATTAATAAATTTTTTTAACACAAAGTGTGATCTGTCAATTTATGTTTAAAATGAAAAAAAAAAAAAATTATCAAGTCAAAAAGTGTAGATTTACAATCATTTTAGGATAAATCCATGTTCCCTGCATAATCATTATCCGAGCACGTAATTAACATATTTTTCCGTCTTTTTTCCCATCATAGTTCCACTTGTTCAATATAAAGCGCATAAGAAAAGACAACTCCTCAGCTCGATGCTCCGCCAACGTAACTTTGAGACAATCCAGTGACGTAATCAATCTGTGTTTAAGTCAATATAATACAATTATTAATGTTACATTTAGTTAGAATTTATTTATTTATTATTGTTTTATTAATGTTATAATCTTCCTATATATTAAAGCCATAAGAATTCAGCCAATGAAATGGCTCCATTTTCCCGCTCAAACAATACTACGTCGTTTTATGTACATAAATTACTGATCTGATTTAATTGCTTATTCACACTGTTTTACACCCTTTGATCAGGTTTAACATAAGTAATTATGTAATTAGTTGGCTAATTTATTGCTTTGCAACTTACGAGAATTAAAGATGGCCGGTGCACAATATTCGAACTATCTGGGAAGTCGAAAAGGGAAAAATGAAATTGAATTTACAATTTACATTTTACACTCTAGAACTAATATTTACAACTAATACATATGTTCTATTTCTGAAAATAAGTAATTTGAAATTTGAAATAACAAAATGATTATTTCTCATTGTTCCAAAGTAGGACTCTTCGTTTCTCTAGGAGAACAGTCCTCATAGCACATTCCATCTCTATATATAGAGGTCGATGAGATGAAGAAGTTCAATCTGACTTCTATACAATACAAACGTAATACTCTGCCAAAATATCCAATGCCTTCTCAATATGTACTGGTCAAGAACATTAGTCTGCACACCAAGCGAGAAGTGGCCAAATTACGATGAGTAAAAGAATGAATATTTCACGATGAGAAGGTAAAAATGATTTAGAAAGCAATCTTTTAAATATTTTTCTACCATACAAATAGCAGATTTATACAAAAGAGCCATGTTTTTTTTTTGTTTTTATCATACGAATAGAACTTATATAATCTGTACTATAATAGGTTACTTTGCTCTTTATCATGTGGTACTACACCTATAAAACAACTGGACATAAGTATCTGATTAAGTTTAACTATAGCACTGCTGTCAAAGAGAGTAAACAAAAACTATTCTCTACATAGATGTTTGCCTCAGGTCTTTCGAATCATTGAGGAATCCGGATGAAGTTAATGACAATGAGCTATTTGGTAAGCAAATATCTTTTTAATCCTATATCAAATTAACTGCCTGATTGCTGTTTTAACAACTATTTTTTTTCAATAGATGTGATAGGGAGAGTAGTTGAAATCTACTCGCCAGTCAATAAAATCTGGAAAGCCTATATTCGAATTTGATTGAATTCCTAATAGCTGATACAAAGTTGGATAATTATTTTATATTTCTGTTTGTTAATTTACATTCTATTTTGAAACATTTAAAAACTGTACAACTGAAAATTCAGACACAGTCAAAAGATGCATTCTGGACCAGTTCTCTTCATCGAACAAAGATGCACCACTGTGAAACCACAAAAAATTTGAAGTTTGTGTGTGGGGACAGTTTTAGATCTGTAATGCTGTTTTCTATGGATTTTGGATGTATTTAATTGGTAGCACTGTTACAGTGCTATCAATTCTATTCATGCTTTCTATTTTGCTATTGGCTTAAGTGTCAAATTAAAACTCATTAAACTTCTATTACTCTAAATCTATATTGATTACTATTTGTTTATCTAATTTGTTGTGTTAGCTTAAGCGGAGTAATGCAAAGTTATATGTTGCTACAACATTGAAGTCATGATACACCTACTCTATGGCAAGGAATTCAAGTTTACTGGCAAAGTCAAGTGAAAGAGAGTACTGAAGTCATCAAAAATAAAGTATGAAGGAAAGTGGTTGGTGTTTTTTTATATAAATCAACTGAATTTTACTTCTTATTTATCTGATGGCAGCAAATATTTGGCAAACAAAATATTGCAGATCATTTGCCCAAATAGGTAGCAAGTAAATGATGTAAAAATAGTAAAATTTGTATAAGCAAATCACTCAAAGGTGCATTATAAATTTTTTTTTTTTTTATGTTTTGTAATCAAATAAGCAAGTTCTAATCTATTTTTCTTTCCTTTAGGAAAGTCAAAATATACCACTGGAAATTAGTTGTTTGGTTGGTCTGGCATGGGTGTTCAAAATTGCTGTTTGTGAGTAACAGTTTTAAAATTTACACAATGCTTTACCAGTTATGCAAATAAAAAATGACAAGGATATGTTTGCTATTCAGTGTCCTGATATGATTGGCAGTAATTCCAAATCTATTTTTTTTTTCCAAACATGGTTATCTCTTATATTATTCTACATTAACTAAGTGTTCTATAGGGTTTCTTCTCTGGAGAGGAGGTTGAAAGATAAGTGCAGGTTGTGGACACTATTGGGATTTCTAAAGAAACTGAGAGTGAGGTGGTTAAAAGGTGCCTTTGAGTGCAGGTACGAGATGGGATGTAATATTGAAGCTTCAATGGAAAGAAAGATGTTCATCAATTACACAATCATATTGTATTTATTAGTAGATACACTTATGCAAAGTTGTATACATATAGTGCAAAATGTATGATCACACAGGGATTATAATACTATATTTTTTATTATTATAAATCAATATTGTTATTTATAATACTATCTTTTGGCTAAACTTATTGTAATCCACTGAGATAATATTTAAAACATTTGCAGACACACAGAATAATATTTAAAACATTTGCAGACACATAATAAATTTAAACTTACCTTAATTAGTGTTCAAAGCATTATATTGGCACCCATGAGTCCCTGATTTCAATAACCTCCATTACTTAGCCATCAATGAGAGCACACTGAATACTTAGCCATCAATTAGAGCACATTGAATTTGTACTTCATCGCATAACTCTGTGAACATTCACATTTGATTAGTTACTTTATATTCAAATTTAAAATTTAAACACTCACATCACTAACTTGCAAACAAAGTAAATAGAACATATTCAAATTTAAAATTTAAACACTCACATCACTCACATCCCTAACAAGAGCTCGGAAAAAAAAAAAAAAAGCACCTTCTGTATTTGTAGACCTGCTCATGTCCAGTTCTTGGTTCCAGATCCTACAGGTCTGGTCATGCATGTACTAGATCCCACTTTACAGCTCCGAAATCTACATAGAACATTAACATATAATTCAAATACTGAGAGTTAGTCTCATATTTCATATTAGAAATGTAATCAATTCAAATAGACAATATTTATACAATAAATATACCAGAGATGTAAGCTGTACAGAATCTTACACTCTTGAGTTCAACGATGACTGAAGACAAACTCCGATCTCGCTTGATTATATTTCCGCTGAACTCATACCCTAAAAAACAAAACAAAAAATTAAGAAAAAAATTGAAGACATGTAGTAACCTAGCGATCGGACAGGCAGGTTCAACAGATCCATTCCAAAATCAAGGATTTCGGAAAGGATCTACGCATTTAACACTAAAATGTGTGTAGATAAAGCGATCGGAAACATGCAGATTTTTAGGAAGAAGGAGTATATGCTTCGTATCTTGAGAGTGGAGAGAGAGACAAAAATGGTGAAATGAAGAACTTTCTCGATTCTTAGCACCGGATTATAATTTACCATTATTGTTATTATTAATATATTATTAAATATTATTAATTAATTAATTAATAATAATAATTATTATTATTATTATTATTATAAATATAAATTAGATTAGAAACACTGCTTTCTAAATTATTATTATTATTATTATTATTATTATTATTATTAGTGTCGTATTTATTTTAATGAAATTTTTATATTTTAAAAAAATATAAATTCAATATCTAAATCTAATAATTTCGTTTTTAAAGCTTAGAAAAATTTACGAAAAGAAATACAGATATTGTGATCGTTCTTTCCATTATGGAAGGACGTTGGTGAATTTTACAATAACGTCTTCGTCAACTTGCAATATGAATCCGCTTTGTATTGCAAATGTGGGTTGAAATCTCCGTTATGTGTAGCTCGTGATAGTGGACATAAATTTTTTGGTTGTCATCAATGGAATGTTATATTACAATTATTGATATAAAAATTATTTTGTTATTATGTGGTTAATTTATATGAGTCTTTTGATATCGCTGGAAAATGGTTTTGGATTTTTTGTATTTGTTGATGATATTCTAATGAATGCTCAAGTTCAAGAGATCCCGGTCATTGATTATGAGGCAACACTAAATGCAATAAGAGATTTGAGTTGTATTGCTAAACAACTAAGAGATGATATGTCATATGTCCAAAGAGAATGTGAGAGAGTTAAGATGTGAATCAGTAGCGGTACTGAAATTGAAAAGAATGTTGGTCCAAGGTGCTTATTGATGTTGTTGTGATAAGTGTGGTTTTATTAGCAATGTTGCTATGTTTTGGTACAAAAAAAAAAAAAAAGAGTAATAATTTTAATATGCCTGTGGTTTTAGTAATACACAGATTTGCATTATGGTTTGTTGATTACAAATGTTGCCTATAAGAAAGTGTGTGATAAATTCTACAAGAATTTAATAAATATTGGTTTCATTTTGTTAGAGTCAATGTCTATATGCAATGTTTTCCCTTAGAATTCTTCATTTAGTAATTTTTTATTTCTGTCTATAATATATCTTTGAAAGACAGCTACTCTATTTTTATTTTTATACCGTGCATCGCATGGGTGGAATCAAGTACAACTTCTATATCAACCACTAACATTGTATATCATGAAGTTTTCAATAATTTGTAATGCTCTAACACTTTGTTTTTATTAATAACATAAGTTGTATTTTGAGTATTTATTGTAGAGTATTAACATGTTTATTTTTCTGTTCAATTCGCAATTTAAATACAATTTTATGATTATTATTTTCTCCGGTATGAAAAATAATAAATTAAATTATAATTAAGGCACACAATTGGACAATAAATTTAACAATTTTTTATCCCGTGCATCGCAATAAGTTTAATACCACACAATAATCATTGATGTTTTTGTATATAAAAAATTTTAATTTCTCTTACAACATCCAATTTAGTTAAATGATTGCAAATGGGCTTTAGTATTCATACTCTTCTAATTTTGAAATTTCACATTCAAATTTTGGAACATCGATTATATTTTCTCATGAAAAAATAATTTTTTTAAAATTTATTATATATATTTTGATTTCCTAATTTTTAAAATTTGTTATAAAAATGTGTGTGTATGTGTGTTATATATATATATATATATATATATATATATATATATATATAAGTCTCCGTGCGGTTGTGCGATAATTAAGGTGTGTGAGTTTTGTACTTAAAGTGCGTGAGTCCTGTGCTTAAGGCGCGTGAGTCTTGTGCTTAATGTGCGTGGGTGTGTACTTATGTGAGTAGTTGTTGAAATTTAAGGTGCATGAGTTTTGTGCTTAAGGTGCGTGAGTTTTGTGCTTAATGTGCGTGAGATTGGTGTTCTTAATGTGGGTAGTTGTTGAAACTTAAGGTGCATGAGTTTTGTGCTTAAGGTGCGTGAGTTTATTCTTAAGGTGTGTTATTTTTGTGTTTAATGTGCGCGTGTTGTGTATTTAAAGTGTGTCA